TACCAGAAAGTATTAATTATATTCATTTATTAACTTTATGGTTTCGAACACCAATTTAAAATGCTAGTTAAATTTTAGAAGCATTTCTTTTCATACTCCATCAGGTTTCATCTGGGGCAACGTAGTAAGCGTAAAATCTTCTTCTCAATACAAGTAATTTATTTAGTCATCTGCCACTGTACCAAATATTTTAGGGTACCAGTGTAGTATCATTAATGTGGCTTCTGTTTCTTATTACTCTAGTTCGATGACAGAGTTTTAAAATTCTTGTTTGAAACCTTCAAAAGTAATGTTTATATCTTCCCTATTGCACAATATACAAATAAGTATTTCAAAAAAATCTTTATACATTTAAGGAAATTCTTTGGATAAATTAAATCAAATAACCTTCGCTGAAAACTAACTCCACGAAATTAATTAAATGCTGACGCACCATCAAGCAAGATTAATTCAAGAATGCAGGCTTTGTGCTTCATTCAGTTTAATTACATTTTGCAAATTACTTACGACGTCTATCGTGTACTTGCCTGGCGTAAAACATGTTGTGAAGAAAGAAGCCATTTGTTGAAGACATGGTTAAGTCCTTTCGTTAATGATCTGTTTAAAATTTTACTGCATGTTCGAAGTAATCAAACGAAGGTGAAAGGTTCTTAATTTTTTCCTCAGTTTGCGAAATACCGCTAAATTTCCAATCTTTCGTGTCTTGGCAAAGTTCATTTAATCCGAACACGGATTCAAAATGTTCAAGAATATTTTCTAATTAATTGCTTGCAGATCAGTAATAAATTCCAATGACAATTACGGAGTTGTGCGCATTTCTCGAAAACAATTAATAGTATAGCTAGAGTTAATAATATTACTTGCATTTGATTGTAGGATTTATTGTATTTTCCCATGATTCAGTCATGCAACTTAAGGAATAAACTGCATCATTGTTTAAACCTTATTTAGTAGTTGGGTTTTTACATCTAATGTGCGATATTGTTTCGAAGAATTTTAAAGATTTGATTTTTCCTTTTGGATATCTTATTTATTCTCTGATCCCCTGCTATTTTATTGCTCAAAAATAGTAAGAAATGTAGCTTTGCCGTTGCTAATATACCATCTTATTCATGGAGTTTGTGGTTTAGTACTTGGGGTCTAGCGAAAAGTTTACAGAAAAGTGAATTCATATAACATTTTAAACAATAACCCTTATGAAACATTTGTCTCATTTGTGCATTGATTGATATTGTAATGAAACTTATTCATATATTAATAAATGAAATTTTCATTCAATATTAATTAATGGGTTCTGAGCTATTTCTGATAACATACCTTTTTTCAGACAATTGCTAAACAAGTTCGTTTTCGTAAACAAATGAGAACTGCGTATTTTGATTCAGCTTATAATAGTTTCAAAGTGATCGCTGAATGGATCTGACCGAAAAGCAACCAACCCAGGGAGTATCATCGTTCACATTCTAAAAGTTAAGGATTTCAAAAGAGTTACTTCAGCATTTTAAGTTATAATGTCCATTTTTTAGGATGTACAGGATACGATTTGTATAGAATTTCTGTCTCTCAAAATGAAATACAATTAAGGCTTAAAATCTTACAACCCTGCAACCAACACTTAGACAGAACCAAGCTGCAAGCTCATAACAACAGTGCTAGGCAGCATGTAATCAGCAAAAGCTGGCATTAATAGCAGGCAAGAAAAATTCTCCACCCTCTTTACAACCCAGATTCGGCACGAACCCATATTTGGTTGCTCCCAAAATGGAAAGAAATCTTGTTTTGCGCAAGTTGTTGTAATGCAATGTTTTTAATATTTGGCATAACATTGCTTATCTTAATTCTCAAATTACCTCGTTCAAAAATATACATCCTGTTTCTTGTTATCCAAAGTAAAGTACTTACTTAACGTAAGCCTGCTTCCAATAGGTAAGAAAAGAAAAAAGTGAATAATGTTGGTTCGGTTACTACTTTTATTTTGAGAATTTCTTCTCGGATGATTTTTAAATTCCAAAACTTAGCATACCTATGTGTTTTGAATAACACATGCCTTTGTATGATATATCTTTCAATAAACAATTAATTATCAATTTATTAATATATACTTGTATATATATATATATATATATATATAAGATTGCGTTCAAAATGGATAGAAGTTTTGATTATCATATCTGAGGAAAAAAGGTGTAGGGTGAATTTTTAAGAGCTCTTAAAAAGTAAAAGTGAAAATTTAGAGTAGTCAAAGATGGTCATGTAAACGTTTTGTACGGAATGTGTTAAACCAATGGTGTAATTATTAAAATTAAAGAAGTTATAAAATAATAGATGAAAAAATAATAATAATAAACATTTGGAAACTTTCAAATATTATATTGCGCGCAAAGGGGCAATTCATTAACTTACACATTTCGAGAGCATTTGGAATAATGTTCCTTTGAACTAAAAATATTTCAAAACATCCTACCTTTAGAATTTTCGATAGACAGTCTCGCGCATTGGAGACATTTTTTTTTCGTACAGATTTGCCACTGCTCGCTTTGAAATCGTTGAGTCTGATAACAAAATATTCGTTAAGGTCTGACAAAATACGAAATACACAATAGGACAAATTTTAAATGCAAATTTCGGGATTTCAGGTGTCCGTATTCGGGTGGAGGATTGCATTATTCAAAGTTTGATGGCTCTTGTATCGTTGTTTTGCACAAGACGAAAAACATGCGTACATGTATGCAAATTCTTCATTTTAATCTTTAAATTCTTCTTTCTCTTAATTTGATTTCTTTAAATATAATACAGGGCGATAATATTTGGTGGCAACAATTTGAAAAGTAACACAGACTTTTATATTGATTTTTTGCACAATCCCGTTTGGGGGAAAAAAAGCCCTTCTGGGCTATCGCTCTTTTTCCACCAATTAATAAATAGTATATAAATCAGCAACATTTCATATTTCAAACAGAACTTGTCAATATGTAAGTATTACATATATATGTACACTGCTGACCATTAAAATTGCAACAGCAAGAAGAAATGATCTGACAAAAGTCAAAATCACATGAAAGGAAGAAGCATTTGGGATACGCAAATAATTAGTATTTCAGCGCATTTAGACAACGCAGGAGGGAGAAACAACATCTGAAACACTGAATAAAAGAAACGTTGTGTAGTAGGTTTCTCATTCGGAAAGTGTGTTGGAGTTTGCTCAGAATATCGTGTTATGCCTCGAATAAGAAGAGGAAATGCTTACAAGTTTCAAAATTCGATAGAGGCACAATCGTTGCTTATCGAAAGTGTAGATTATTGTTCGGTGATATTCACCGGTCGCACTGGTTGACATCCAACCACTTTCATGCAAGTGTGCAATCAATGGATTGTTTAGGGTCATACTGAACAACATTCCGATCTCAACGCCCTCCCATGACTAACGCCACAGAGGCCAGACATATTGTGAGGTCACATCACGGACCATCAGTCAGGAAATGGGCATGATTGCAGCACACCCAATATCAGCTCGTAAAGTGTGTCGACGTTTGCAGCAACGTGACCACTACTTCGGCTTCCCTTGACAATGCAGCATAGAGAGAGATTCTATTGCGCCAAACGACCAAGCTGCGTACAGGAGTGGCACAATATCGCCTTTTCAAACGAGTAACGGCTCTACCTGCAGTATTCCGATGACGGTATACGTGTCTGGAGTGTCCGAGAAGATCGCAAGCCGCCTGCTTGCATTCGATATCGGCATAGGGGCCCTACACCTGGTGTGTTTGACCTCAATGGTAAATTAAACGCAGATGGGTACATTTTTGACATCTTAGTTCCAGTGGTTGTGCTCTATCTTCGAAGCTCCCAAAAGCCATGTTCCAACAAGACAATGCAAGACCACATGTTGTACGTCGTGTTCTGATCTTACTCGATACACAGGGTATTCGACTTCTGCTCTGTCCTGCACTGTCTCCAGATCTGTCACTCCTTGAAAACATCTAATCATGGGTTGTTGAGAAATGTTCCGCCATCCTTATCTAGCTAATACGGTTCATGAAATGTGACATAGACATGAAGCAGCATGGAATGAGTTACCCATTTATATCATCCAAGCTCAGTTTGACTCCATGCCTAATGTAATGGTGAGGACCGTTTTAGCTGCCAGGGATGGCATTTGTTTCTACTTATCTCTATTTTTCTGTAAACCTCCAAAATGCTTACAAATTTAATCATTTTGTCTCATGCCATACTTTTTATGCACAATAAATATCTTTTTTGTATTTGCTTTCCTTCATGGTGATGCAATTTTAATGGCTAGCAGTGTATGTAATTTTAATCGGTGAGAAGTAGATTATGCATATCAATAGCCAGTGCATAAATGGCTATCGATTCCTTATCGTCACTGGCCTCCTTTCAAACTTCCTCGAACCCCCCCCCCACACACACGGGAGTGAATACTGACACCATTGGAAACTTCTAATGTAGAAGGAAATAGGTATACTTGACTTTTAAGCTCATTCGTTTGTTGATACTTTACTCCACTATCTGTCTCAGGTCAACTTAATTTCGATTACGCCGGATTATGCTTTAACTGCTTAGAAGTATATAGATGTTTCCATCGTAAACTGTATAGTTGTATAGTTTTAACAGATTGCTACGGGATTTAATAATACTATTCTATGAAGCTTTTGACTTCTTACACACATAAGACAAAAACACTCGGACATATTTAAAATCATGCATTCGCGTACATTAAGATAGACGCAAAGATATAGATATAAATCACATATTGAAGAAATATATTTCTTCAAAATCTGGGGATTTAGGATTAACAAAAAACGTATTTCTTCTATTACGTGCGGTTAGTTATAAAGATCAGATGTTAAATTAATTAATTAGGGAACCGAAATACTCCTTTCGTAGCATTTAAGTGGCCTTTATATACATGTATTAAATTTGTGTCTCTCAATAGGTTTTCTCTTTTTCTAATGAAAGCATGTAATTCTTCTTTTTTATAGCAAGGGCAAACGGTTCTCCATTGTGCTGCGCAGAACAACCAAGAAGAAATTGTCACGTTCTTGCTTGAAAATGCAGAAAATCTCACGATCAATGCAACAGATAAGGTAAATCCGACTTAATTGTCATGGCAACCAGCTGGATAAAGCATCAAAATTTTTACTTTAATTAGTTATGTAATCTGTTTTCTTCCAGCTGACGCATTTGTCAATATTATAAATTTTCAGTTTTATTTAGTTTTAGCAAAGAGTGTTTGCAAATAAAACTATTTAAAAAAATTATTTTAAACAAATGCTTGCAGAAAATATTCCAGTCGAAGTTTAAGAAACATATCCCTGAAATCCTTTTGTATAATTGATGAGAATTAACGTTTCGTATTAAGCACAAAAATATGTGCAAGAATAAATTAATTATGTTCTTTGGGGAAGCTGTCGTTGCATTCTCGTGAGTATGATACATGTTTGCCTTAATAAGCAAGCCAGTGTTAACACATGCTAGGTTTTGAATGAAGTTTTAACACTGCATATAGTGCAAACATTGTGAAATAAAATACCTTTATCATTGCTTAAGATATTTCTTAAAAACTTATACTTAAAGCAGAATTCGTTAAGCAATTTTTGTTCCAAAATACTCCACAAGTTACGAAATCTGAGGACAAAAGTCCCAGAAACCTTAAGACAAAGGTAATGCTAAAGTTGAATGAAGATTTGACGACTTTTGTTAAAAACTGATAACAGTTTATAAAATGCTGAAAAATTTGGAAATTTACTGAAATAAACTCTACAATAACTACATAATAGCTTTTATAAAAGTATTTTATAATGGCGCTTTTGTAAAAGACAGAAGCGAAGTGTTTAATACAGTTATCTTTGTATCCTAATACAGTCATACAAATTCCAGTTATAATAACGCCGTTTATACACTCATGTTCATAAATTAAGGATAATTCGAGGTCACGCTGAAATCGAACTCTAAAATAAATATATCACCTGTAAAATCACTACACACATCTTCAAGAATCATATGCAAATTTCAGGAAGTAACCAGATGACACCGATGGTACGTCACAATGACGAGAGTGTAAAAGAGTGCACGGTAAGATAAGGAATACATGCAAAGAAGTAAATTTGTTCCCAGGCGCTTTATAAGCATTTAAGTGCAATAACCGAATAGTTATGACACAAAGGACGCATTTGGATGCTTTTTACGTGGTAGAATTATCGGCCGTCTGAAATGTGGGCGTACCCAACTGGAAGTATCAGACGAACTTGGAATTGCCTAGAGTGTCATCTCCAGGCTTTGGCAACGATTCCAAGATGATGGTAATGTGAGTAGACGTTACAGCACAGGTCGCCCCAGAGTCACAACGCCGAATGAGGACTGGTATTTGGCAGTTACTGCCAAAAGAAACAGGCGGAGCACAGCCTCAGACCTGTCTCGTCAGCTCTCTTCAGCCACTGGTACGACAATTTCAAGGCAGACCGTTAACAGACGCTTAGGGAAGATTGGTCTATATGCTCGTAGACCTGTCAGATGCGTTCTACTTACTGCAACTCACAGTCACCTGCGGTTAGCCAGGAGTAGAGAGCATGCATTGTGGAGCATGCAACAGTGGGCTTGTGTGATGTTTTCCGACGAGTCCAGGTTTAGCTTGCAGTCTGATAGCAGGTTAGCTGCAGTCTTGCCGGACTTTCATATGGAGAGCTCCAGGTACCCGTTACGACCAAGAAAACATCATTGAACGACACCGTTACAGTGTTGCAGGAGTGCTCGTTTGGAATGGAATTATTCTGGGTTTCAGAACTGACCTGCATGCTCAAATTGGAACCATGACAAGTCAAATCTATCGGGACGTCATTCTGGAACAACATGTAAGTTTGTTTCGGGGCGCCATGGGCGCACAATTTGTGTTTATGGATGAGAACGCCCGTCCTCACCGTGCAAACATCGTAAGCGAATGCCTTCAATCGGAGGATATCACCCGTATGGACTGGCCAGCATTCTCACCGGACTTGAATCCAGTAGAGCACGTGTGGGACATGCTTGGCCGACGAGTTGCAGCCCGTCAATCTCCTCCTACATGTCTACCGGAACTTCGGAGAGCATTGCGTTTTGAGTGGTGTAATATCCCCCAAGATCAGATCGATAATTTGATACTCAGCATGCCTAGGCGTTGTACGGACTGTATTGCACCGTCTGGGAGACATACAATGTATTAACAATCATACCAACCATGTAATATTGGTTTTTTGTAAATAGTTTTTTTTTTTTTTTTTTTTTTTTTTTTTTTTGTAAATTTGCCCAGGGAGAAAAAAAAATCGCTAATTTTTTTAATAATATCAAACATATAGCATCTTTTTTTGCTCTTTACCTTTTGTTTAATAAATAAGCTTTACAAATAAGTCAAATTTGTTTTGTATTATCCTTAATTTATGGACATGAGTGTAATACTCTGGTCAGCGGTATTGGTGACCCCTGTCGAGCAGTTCAGCCGCGAGTTAGAGAGATCAGCTAGAATCTGTAGTCTGTAAGTGGGACGGGGGGTCAGGAGAATGAGGTTGCTTACACTCTTGTTGAAGGTGAAATTTGCCTGAAAGACCCACCGCCGCCTAATATTGACTTTTTAAGTTGGGATTGGACCTGATTATGCATCTATCTGAGTTGCAGTACTGGCAGTTAACAAACTAGTTTCTTATACATAATCTAACCTCTAATTTTTCCTTCACCTTTAATTTCAAAGGTCTGTTATAGGTAAGATCACAAGTAATTTTATAAATATCCCCGAATGAAGGTCCCATAGTTCATCTTTTGCGGTCTCTAGTCTGAATCATGAAAGAATATCAGTGGAGGATATTAAAGGGGAAAAGCTCAACCTTAAATTACTCTTGTTTAATGAACACTCGACTAAAACTAAAATAGTTGGAAAAAAATGAAATCTTGGCTAATTTTTGTACCCCAGTCAAATGTTTTGGGTTTTGTTTTTTATAATAAATATAAACTTTTATTATATATAACTACAGGGACTGGCAAAACGCGTAAAATGTTATATTTCGTAATTTTTGCTATATTAGTTTTTCAAATTTAGAAATATCAAAACATATATATATGCGTTATCTGAAATATTTTCGTAGACCTGAAGAGATCTGCCTATGATCATCGATTGTGAAAATAAAGGTCTCAAAAAGATTTTTATATCGCCTAAAGCCAATTTATAAGGGGTTTTTGTATATCGAAAATAAAAAGAGGATTTTAAGGCAATAGGGTACTAATTATTATTATTTTTGCCATTATCTCTTAATCTTAGCTACCTTTGTCATTATTTACCGTGCTATATATCTCTTTAACAGAACGGAATGACTCCCGTCCACGTATCCGCAATTAACAACTGCATGCCTATTGTTGAAAGGATGATTCAAGCAGGCGCGGATATTTCTATAAAAGATAAAGTAAGTAAAATTTTATTTCTTATGAATTTTTATTTAAATCAGGAACGGTTGTTCTCACATTTATGAGTGCATTGTGATTGGTAACTAAGATCTTTTATAAAATACCTATACATAATTTTTCGATGTGAATTCAGAAAGAACACATCCATAAATAATGAACTGCATCAATTGGGATTTAATATGTTGGTAAATACTGCAGAGAAATAGGTCATTTCCAATTCTGTACATTGACCCATTTCGTAACTATTATATTTTAAAAGTAAATTTGCCACTTACAAGATTATTCAACTAAAACACACTGTAAAATTACATTCTGAGTCTAATAAGATAAGCAAATTTTGGGGTGTTCCGTCTTTAGTCTATGCTTTCAGGTACCTTTTTTCTGCAACAATCCTTATTTAAAAGTATGTAAATTAAACTTCCATGAAAAAAGACATGCGCGAATAAGAAGTAGATTAGATATTAGTTAAGTTACTAAGCGGCTTTGGGGTAATGACGTTAGTTTTTTCCTTGCTTAGCTGTGCTGTGAGAAGTCAAATTTATAATTAAGAAATATTCTGTCAGAAGAATTGTACTTTTCATAGTAAGAGAGATTTGATTTCAGTTTTTATCAGTTAGATCCCGGCCAGAGTTAAACTAGTAAATTATTCCTTTTGACCAACAGGTTTGGAAGAAGTTTAACTACCTACTGTTAATAAATTTGTATTAAAGACTGTTTGTTGCATGCTACAAAATAACAGATGGCGCAGTTATTTTACGTAATTGGTATATTATTAGTTACTAACATTTTATTTACTTATTTATATAATGAGAACACGAATGTTGCTTGTAAAACGCTTGAGCAGTTTAGTATGAGTAGCAGATGTAAGAAAGTGGACTTATACAATAGGTTTCGCAGCTCTTACAGATCTTGCACATCCACACCTTATGGATCTACCACCGACCGATAAGTTACTGAACATTGGTAGTTCGGTCCGGAGTTCGAATCCCGGTGAACGGGATGGCTGCATGTGCGTTTTCATGTTTTTTCCCATGTGTATACCAGCCATTTTGACTTAAAAAGTGCCTCGACGAAGGTATCCCTCCCCTTAGCCAGATGGCCCTCGAGTGCTCTGCCATAATTAAATAAACCAATTAAACAAACCTTATGGCGAGCATTATCACTTTTGCGATGAAAATAATTTTTTAACTTACTTATTTGCAGAAAGCAAATTATTTTTTATTGCAGAAAAGCAATTTATTTTTAATATCATCTTAAAACACACATTTTTATTTCTTTTATGCCATTAATATCAATTAAATAGTCTTCTAATACACTATACTAAATCGATGACCCACCAGCGGCCGAGCGGTAAAAGCCGTTGAACGCTGGCAGTTCAGTGCGGGTTCGAGCCTCGGCGAACGGGCTGACTGTATGGGCGTTTTTCTGGTTTTCACCGTGTAACGTGGATACGAACCAGTTTCACATAGAAAGACTTACACGGGGTATACCTTCCTTTCCGTGTAGTACTTAAGGGTGGAGCATGTAATAAGTAAACAAAATACTAGATCAGTTGCAAAATGTCTAACCTTAATGTAACCTGCGCACACTGTTATCTACATCAAAAACAAAACCCAATGGTAATACTTAAATTTCGTAGCAACGTTAAGGCTGCAATCCTTATATATAGAGAGATAGATATAAAAAAATAAATATCAAAATCATTTTGCTCGAAAACATTTCTTATTTCTTATTCTCCTCTGTTTAATGCTTTTAATGAGCTACGAATAAATGTTTCGTTCCTCTGAACCGTTTGAGACTTAGAACCGCTTTCGTTACAAAACCATCATTTTAAATCATGTTCTGTAATTTTAAAAAAATTTTCGATTTCATTTTTTATTTTCTTTTAACGATTGCTTTTCTTTGGAAGTTTCCTTAATTTGCTTTTATTTAGTTTGGTAACTTTTATCCGGAGAAAGAAGGTTCATATGCATAAACTTCATTGATAGTCTTTCAAACGTAATAATCCTTTTTTAATATCTTGGTTTATTTTCTATTTGCGCCATTTTTATTTGAACCAAAAGGGCGAAAACAAATGCCAGAACTTACAGAACTGGGACTTCGTAGCGTAGATTCTGAGGAGGATCATTAAAAAAATAACCTTATCCAGTAAACAATGATTCAATTTGATCGCTGATGTAGCAATCTACATCAGTGATTAAATTGGAGTGCAAAAGGGAAGAGATTTAATTTTAATTAAGAGTAAAATTTTAACTTCAGCAGTTTATAACGATAAGCATTGTTTTTATTTACTGTAGGGAAAAATCCCTTTATGGTATTAGAATAAAGTTTTTAGTCTAAAGTTTTTATAAATCATATTTTTAACATCCTTTTCCTGATCTGTTATATTTCCGCGATATCATAGCAGTAAGTTTAATCTACAAGTAAAATTTGTTAAAGGAATTGTAATTTAAGCGCAGTTAAAAATGGTACTCGTCTATTGACTGGTCGTAAATGCTTTTAGCAAGCAACTAATGTGATTAATTGCATAATATGCCTTTCTTGTAACATTAAGAGTATATGGATAGTAGGTAATTTTTGGATCAGCAATGATTAATTTCATTGTAGAGAGGTTTCAAGAATTTGAACCCATTATGGAACTTTCAGTTGAATGATCGGCCATTTGAATGATCGGAAGTCCAAAACAGTTATTTCTCTGTGAGCACAGAATAAACAGTACTTTATTCCGAAAATGAACATGAATAGCTTTAATGTTTAGTAAGCAATAAAGTTATTTAAGTTATTTATTATTTCCATTTGTTATTTTGTAGCAAGCTACATCAGCGATCAAATCTAGATCATTGTTTACTGGATAAGGCTATTTTTTAATGATACTCCTCAGAATCTACATGTATAATTATTCCAGTTTATTATGGGGCTTAAGCATTTTTTTTCAGGTTTTGTATGCTTCTGATAAGATTATTAGTCCAAAAGGGATTTGCGTTGGTTCACTATAAATGTCCGTTTCACTTTTCAAACTGTTGCCACCAGATGTTAGTGTCTTACATTATATTTGAAGAAATTAAATAATGAAAAATCTGCATAAATTTATGAAATTTATGCGGTCATAAAACAACGGTACATAGAGACATCGAATTTTGAATGACGTAATCCTCCTACGAATATGGGATGTGGAAGCCCAAATTTGAAATTTAGAATTTGTTCTATTATCGATTTCATATTTTGTAAAACTTTAACGAATTTTTTATTAACAAACTCAAGGATTTCAAAGCGAGCAATGGCAACGTTGTATAGAAAAACATTTTTTTTTTATCTCCAACGCGCGAGTCTATGTATCGGAAATTCTAACGATATTCTCATTTTAAAACTATTTTGCAGTATTGTTGTTGAACTGAATTTTATGGTTTAAGTAAGAATAATGTGATATTTAATAAATAAATGTAGCACACAAAATGATAAAAAAACGCATCTTTGGACGTAATTTAAAATTTGAAACCTTTCAGATTTTTTTTTTAAGTTACAAAAATTTAATCTGTCACCAATATCGTTCTATGTGAACACAAAAATGACGTGCGCTTAGCTAACATACAAATACGTTAAAAATTAGATAATGAAAAAAAAAGAAATTTTAAATTACGTCCAAAGGGGCTTTTTTTAACATTTTGTGTGTTACCTTTATTTATTAAATATCCTGTTCTTCGCAGTTAAACCATAAAATCAGTTCAAGAGCAGTATCGCAAAATAATTTTAAATTGAGCATATCTTTAGAATTTCCAATACATAGTCTCCCGCACTGCAAATAATAATTTGTTTTCTGTACAACGTTGCCATTGCTTGCTTTGAAATCTTTGAGTTTGTCAATCAAAAATTCGTTAAAGTTTTACGAAATATGAAATCGATAATAAATTATATTTTACTTGGTGTAAGAATTAGCTTGCAACAAACGTCACTACGTCTGCCTGTTCTCACAGACACATTTCAAATTTCAAATTTCAAATTTGGGCTTCTACATGCCCATATGGATTACGTCATTCAAACTTTGATGGCTCTAGGTACCGTTATTTTATCACAATGCGAGAAACATACATGCATTTATGCAGATTCTTCATTATGTAATTTCTTTAAATATAATACAGGGCGATAATATTTGGTGACAACAGTTTGAAAAATGAAGCGGACATTCAGAGTCATTCGACGCAAAATCTTAAAACGAAAACAATAGTCCCTCAGGGAACAAAACTTCTTTGGACTAAAAATATTTCTAAAAAGAATATAAAATTTTTTAGCGAAATTTGGTATTGACTTTTTATATTGTATGATAAATGCAGCTGTTTTTTAAATTCTTACTATTAGCTCACACTCTCCCTATATCTTTTTCAAATTTTCAATCGTTAATAAAATACTTTTTATTCATCCACTCAAGTTCAAATACATTTTTTTAAACTTGTAAAAGATGACACTTGATGTTAACACAGTTTTTCTACATATTAATTTTTTTTTTTTTTTTAATTCAAAAAATTTTTTATAATTAACTTTTTTTTTTGCGTTTTTAAAATTTTTCTTAGGTCAACAAAGAAAAATTTTAAAAATAGTAGATGACACTTGATGTTCATACAGCTGTTTGACTTAATTTTTTTTCATTATTAAAATTTTCTTTGTTGACCTAAGTAGGAATTGACTTTAATTTTGTTTTTATATTACTTGTTATCACAGAAATTGTTACTACCGACGTTTGTGACCTTTTTCTTTAGACAGATAGGAGCCCAGTTCATTCTGTAGCAGAACGTGGACATCATCTTGTCTTGGTCCGGTTATTGCGTGTAGGGGTAGAGGTAGAGGACAAAGACGAAGTAAGATTGTTTTTCTTGTTTTTTTTAATAAATTCTTGATTCCTAAATCATATTAATTTAATTTTGATTTCTTATTCTGAACATTATTCTGAACATATTCTGAACATTCTTTTAGTTAATTATTGTGCAGCAACGATCTATCATAATTATTCATAACCAACAATGAAATTTGAAAATGTTTAAAATTATCAAAATAGCCCGTGGTGGGAAAAGATGTGGCGGTAAACAGTATTTCGTTTCTTTTCATATTTATCCTCAAATAGCTTTATAAGTAAACACATTAACGAAGCAGCTATTGAAATGGTAGATTTATTACCCTTTGCATAACACAAGTAATTTATTTATTTCTCAAGTACTTTTCACCGTAGAATTCCTTGAAGACGTATCTGAAGCAGAGAGTGCGATTATGCTTGACATAATCTTAAATTTTATATAGCCAGAACTCTGGATCCAAAGGTTTAAATTATTTTCGATATCTAGATTTAATTGCTGTAGATTAAGGATTTTAATATAGATTATCTCGTTAAATTATCTTGGGACGCTAAATCTGCAGTTACATTGCATATTAAAAATAGCATAGTATGGAAACACTGAATATTTGATTTTCGGTAGATTCGAATAACTTCATTAAAATTATATACAGACGTTATCCTAACTCAGAATCGAACTGAGATACTAAATTCTAAATTTCATTTTTCCTCCAATGTACATTTAATAACTAATTTGCAAACCATATTTTATTTTTTGGGCGATTTTCATTTAAATTTTATTTCGTGTCACGAAGTTATTTTTTTAGCTTGCTTTTTTAGCTTTAATTAGGTATGTTTGTTATTGTATTCATACATGTGTGTAAATCACCTGCACCAAAGTCCCGAATCTTCAAAATCATTACTTCGAGGAAAATATTTAAATGTTTATATGAGTTTCGTTTTGAGATAAAAATTAAGTTATCACTTCTATGCAATAATTTTCATATAACCATATGTTTAGAATATATTTCCTTTAAAGTGATGTAAGCATTTTAAATTAAAGCCGAAAGTGTGTGTCAGTGAGAACAGGCAGACTTAGTGACGTTTGTCGCAAACTAATTCTTACACCAAGTAAAATATAGTTTTATTTTTCAATTCTTACCTTACTGAAGTACAGCGAAGTTGTCACTTATACAGGGATTGGACAAAAATATGGAAACACCTTTAAAAAACATGTTTCTTTGCTTAATATGGTGTAGGAAACCCGTTGGCATCCAAAACAGCTTGCAGTCTTCTCGGAATGGATAAATACAGTTCCTGTATGTTTGCCAAGGGAATATTATACCATTCTTCCTGCAAAACGGTGGCAAGTTCAGATAACGATGTTGGCGGTGGATAACGAGAACGCACTTTCCGTTCCAATGTAGACCACAGAGGTTCGATAATATTCAGGTCTGGTGACTGTGGTGGCCAGGGGAGATGGGACAACTCATCCTCGTGCTCAGAAAACCAGTCCTGGACAACGTGAGCTGTGTGAACAGGGGCTTTGTCGTCTTGGAAGATACCATCACCATCGGGGAACAAAGTTTGTACCATGGGATGAACTTGATCGGCCAAAATGTTCACATAAGTCTTGGCAGTCATGTGCCCTGACACAGTTATCATGGGGCTAGCAGAGAACCACGATATGGCTGCCCAAACCATAACAGAACCCCCGCCATGTTTCACTCTTGGCAACAAGCAGTCTGTATTATAGGCTTGACATGGCCTTCTCCAAACGTAAACTCGGCCAGAAGTGGGAAACAATGTGAAAGAAGACTCGTCAGACCATATTACTCGCTTCCACCACTGCTCTATAGTCCAGGCTTTATGACTTAAACACCACCTTTCCTGTTACGGGCATTAGCATCACTGATGAGTCGCTTCTCAATTGCAGCACGGCCAGCAATTCCCTGTTTATGAAGCTCCCCTCTAATTCTTTTGGTACTCACAGGGTTCGGTAACACAACATTCATTTCAGCAGTAACTTTTGCAGCTATGGTCTTCTTATTTTTCGTCACAATTGCCCTTAATGATCGTCTGTCACGATCACTCAGGACACACTTTTGTCCGCCCTGTGATTTAGCAGATGATGTTTCTCCGCTTTTCAAATATGCGGAATAAATCTTCGATACAGTACCTCTTGAAACACTAAACACCTCGGCTACCTTGCTTACGGAAGCACCTACCATACGTGCTCCAACAATTTGCCCACGTTCGAAGTCTGTTAACTCTGACATAATGCAATGACAACCTCACATAACAGTACTCCGACAACAACTGAACTGTTTAGCACATTTACGAAGTTGTATAGGTGGCGTCAGTAGTCAAAAACGCCAGCGCCACCTACATATTTCATTAAAATCAATCTTTCTTTTCAAACATGCATTTCACAAGGTGTTTCCATATTTTTGTCCATCCACTGTATATTAATAATTATTTCTTGTCCCTTTTCAGGAAGGGAAAACGGCGCTTCACCTGGCGGCTGAAAATGGGCATCAGAAAGCTGTTCTAATACTGTTGGAGCATAACTGTGATCCCGGGGCAGAGGATACAGTGGGTATTGTTGACCTCCTGTCTTCAAAGCAGCATAAAATATTGAACCTATACAATATGTTTTATTTTCTGAGTAAATATTATTTTCTTGGATAAAAGCAAATATCAAATGAGTAACCTGTCTGGCTGCAGGTCGATACACGTTCAATCTATAAATTGGTCGGAGCATTTTAAAATCAGAGTCTACAAATAAATTCCGATAAACGAATAGTTAATAAAACAGCATTATCCATGCCCTAAATTCCGCGAATAATATGTAAATGGGTGTCATGAAATGTCACGTAACCTAAAATGGAGTCTTCTTCATTGATATCTCTCGGTATCTATCTAATTATTCTCTCGGTCATCAGAGTAAAAACTAACAAGATTAAATATTGTTTGATTCTTATAGGAAGAGAACAGTACGACAACAGAAAACAGAAAAATATTTACTATTATAGAAACCAAAATGTTACCGAAAATGTTTTATATTTATAGCAGAAAATGGCTGCAATCATCTTGCCAAAAACATAGTTTATAAAACGGGAGAAAACTTTTTTTTTCTGTTTCCTGTTCTGAATGCAAGGCGAATGGGCTGTGTGCATAAGCTTTGCGATTTTCCCTATCTGTAATATGGATACGAGTCTTCCCTTAGAAAGTCCTTCCCGATGACATCTCTCCTTAGACTGCGAATGATTAAATGCTAAATTGCGTACACTGAAATGTAATAGAACAAACAATACATAAATAATTATGAAACAAATGTTTGAAAATACCTGCACCGTTTTGAATGTAAAATGTATGTGTATGTATTTTTTTATAAATGTATGTGTGTATATCAAATTTATAACACTGCAAGTGCTTTAAAATATTAACATAAAGTTATAATAAAGAATAATTGTTTCAGAATACACTACACAGTAAGATGTAATTAAAATCAATGTGAAAACTCATTTGTGGGAAGATAAATGAAAAAAAAAATGCTTTAGATGCTTTTAATAAAATCAATGATTTTTCCCCTATACGTTCATTTCTTGCATTTTATGGCACCAGAGCGCTATTTTTCTTCCCTCGACCAACGATGGATGGCTGATACACATAAAAAATAGGCTTATCAGCTAGTTATGCCACGTTGGCGGTTCTAATTTGCTTTGCTTGTTAAAAACATGTTCCTGGAGACTGCCAAAGTTTACTACGTCATTGCTGCCATATGGATAAATTGTCCAATTTTGCAGAGGGTTGTTAATAAGCCAAGAGGAAGTTGTATGGTGATACCGGGTAGAAAAGAACAAACTCAGATGGCGTTTTTATATCGAAACAAGGAAAGAAATGGCGAGTATAGGCAAGGAGGTTTTACCGAGGTTATGAAAGTAAATGCCAATAGCACTGTCGCGGGTCTATAAGGTATGCATCTTATGGGTGAACTTCAAGATGTATGTCACCTTTGTGTATATATATGTTACCAGCAAAGTATGAATTCTGTCAAATGCCTGGCCGGTTTTAGACAAAGTATGAAATATCAGAATTATATTACATACTTTACCTAAGCATTGTATATAATACCTAGAGTTCTACATCACAAATGCTCTTTAGACAAAGTATTAAAAAAGTAATAAAGCTATTATTTAAAAGACGTTTATTCCTTATGATGTTGGGAGGCCCCAACTTGTTAGCAACAGAAGTAGTGACTGCTATGAACTGGAAATTACACAAACTCGTAAGAAGGGTTTAACTCCCTTTTTATTTCACTTTAGAAATCACAGTTGCGTTCACTTGACGCTCACAAACTACGCCGACCCGGCGGTTGAACAAAATAGACAAAAATGCAACTAAAAATAAATGACAGGATGAATAACTAACGAAGTCACTACCTACGAGGCTCTATAATCGTAACTAACTTAACCGCGTTCTAAGATACAGCTGAGATTCAGCAAACTTTGTGATTAAGAATTTGAAAGATTCAACGAACTGCCGAAATAGGCACACATGCCGAAACGCGCGATTCTTAAATTTCTACCTAGCAACCATCACGCTCGTGATTCAAGAAGCACACTTACAATCTCGTTTCCCTTCTATTTAACTCAATTTACTTCTGCTAAAATTTGATTACTCTGCGCGTTCTACTACGATTTACATACTCTGGCATTGGCAATTCTAGGGGAAAGTAAAACAGGAAAGATAGCTTAAAATAAATGTTAGTTAAAATAAATATAAACCCTACATTTGCCGCTGCCAGAATTTGGTAAATTTGGAAGCAGGTGCTAGAAACGACCTGTTGAAAAAGTTTCCAAATTCTGATCTAAAACTCAAGAGCTCCGTTTACATAAAACAAACTGTTTCCTCAAAAATTACAATAATTTCTGTAGATAATAAAAATTACCATATGTTCTTACAGGATCCTTTCTGGTCTTCAGCAATCAATCTTTTCTCTTCCTTCCAGATGCTGGAAGTATCTTCTAAATATGAGTATCTTCTAAATACATTATGATTTACACTTTCTTAACACTGGCTAAAGTTTTCGTTTTCGATCCTTTTCTTCTCCTTATTTAACTGCTTAATTCACATTCATTCAAGTATTCAAACATGAATTTAACTTTACCCTGGCTCTCCACCATGTGTGGTGTCAAATGGGAATCTTCCTGTTTTTGTATTACAACACTTTCCCTAACCACAATGATTTGTTAGAATTCAACGACCAAATAGACACACCTTACTCGACATTCTACAACTCGATGAGCTATGTTTAACATTCTTAAAATTCAAGTGTAGGTGGAGAACCCTACAAAACACATTCATTCTAACTTCCCCCTCATTCATCTTTAGACATGCAGGCTTTCGCTCTAAAGCATGATTTTATCTACAGTTTAATACTTAAATTTGAATTCATTTCTTTTGAGCATTTACTTTTAGCATCTAAAATTTTATGCTTCTAGACTAAATTCTACTTTTACATAACTTTCAAGTATTTACGTATATTTACAAAATTCTAATACATATGATTTTTACAATTTACCATAAAATGAATAAGAGAAAAATAAATTTTTACTTTACGCTTTCTTCGCCAAGCTGGCGGCACTGAAACTAAAGTTTTCCATTAATACAAGAATACGAAGTTATTTTTATCTTCGGCCAAATTTTGGCTTTAACATAACAGAATTAGTCTTTCGACCAACAGGAACTGCTTGTTCTTAGATTTTATACTTAAAGAAAATAATACTTTTATTTTTGCCTTAGCTAAATAAAGTAAAACAAAACTAAGTCTCAACCGAGACAAATTGACTTCCGTCAAAAACATAGAACTTCGTATTTACGCATAACATTTCGGAACAAAAGAAAAAAAAATTTATAGAAGATTTTAACTTATCTTTGAGTTTTCGATGATTGAAACTCCGACATCCTCTTCTGGCAAAATTGATCCCAAGTTATAGGTTTCATGGACGTCAATCTTCTCCTTACTGGGTTCTTCGAGTTTTCGTCCATGGTGACTTTTCTTTTTCGCCCTCTGCATGCTGGCCTCTTGGGTGGTAGTCGTCGGGTTGCTGTCTTTTCCGTTTTTGGCCCCTGGACGGCTGGTCTTGGCGTCCTCCGGTCTGGATTCTTGCTTGAATTTCTTCTGTTGGTGCCAATCTTTTCGTTCCTCCTGCTGTCTTTTTCTTCTCGTGAACGGCGGCCTTGTTTGCTCCTGACTATCTGGCCCTGGAAGTGGTTTCTCCTTTCCTCGATGCAGAATTTCTACTGTGGATACGTTGTATCTGGTCTTTTCCTCTTTACCAAAGATTCTTTACGCGGCGGCGTTGATTTCTTGTACTTTCTTAAATGCTGGAGTCTGACCATTTTCCTTCCTTCTTTTCGGTACCGTCGAATGACTTGTAGAAGGGCTAGGTTCCTCTTCTGTTCTCTGCTTCTTGGGTGGTGGAACGGGTGACGTTATTCTGGACCTTTCTACTTCTTTTACGCTTGAGTCCTGCAAGAAACTTTTAAGGATTTCAAAATCATTTTGATTATAGTATTTTTTCACCTGGTCGGGACTTGCTTTACAGATTTCCCCTCTCTCGTTCTTAAGGTACAATACGACTCCTTTGATTTCCTGAATTACATAGGGGCCTTCAAATTTTGGAGCTAACTTTGCAGTAAAATTGTCTGGGGCACTTGATAAAGAAAATTTCCGCTTCAAACACTTTATCCCCAACTTTAAAATCTGCTTCACGGCGTTTTCTATCATAGTACATTTTTTGTCTATTTCTTGCCGTATCCGAGCTTTTAACCGCCTGATCAATAAGTTTTTTGCACATCTTTTTGTTTAAATTCTTGCTCTCTTTGTTGCACAAAGAATAATTTATCTAATGGCGTAATTAACTTTCGTCCTAAAAATAATTCTGCTGGAGTTTTTCCCGTAGTATCGTGATTTGCCGTTCTTAAAGCATAAGCTAACTCATTTATGTAGCCATCCCAGCGCTTGTGATGTGTGCTAACATAACTTCGAATTATTTTTACAATATTTTTTATTAACTCTTTCTGCTATGTTTGCCTGTGGTCTATACGGAACCATTTTGATATGGCGTATGCCAAGTCCAGTGCATATGTTTTCAAATATTTGGCTAACGAATTGTTTACCGTTATCGCTAATGACTTTTATCGGTGCACCGTATTTTAAAATGTATCTGTGTAAGAATGCATCTGCGACTGTTTTGGCTGACGCGCGTTTAAGTGGAACAATTTCTGTCCATTTTGAAAAATGATCTACAATTACTAAAAGAAAACGATTTTTATTTAACTCACTCTGGGGGAAAGGACCAAGAAGATCTATGCCTAAAATTTCATTCGGAAATGTAGCGCGAATGCTATTTAAGTACCCGGCCGGGCTGTAATTAATATCATTTATTAACTGACATTGATTGCAGGACCTGACATACGCAGTTACTATTTTGTATAATTGCGGGAAATATACCGCCTCGCGTACCCTTTTTAAAGTCTTTCTGACCCCTAAATGACCCGCTGTTTTCGCGTCGTGTAATTCCTTC